TCTTGACAAGTGGCTCCTGAATTGTGCCCAGCCAGACTGCGGCAGACACCACTGCGATAAATTCTAGATTTTGCTGGTCCCATCTTGGCCACTAGCACGTGGAGACACCCTGACTGTTGACACTGACCTGTGTCCGGTGACCTTCTGAGACGGGATCCTCATGTCTGGAAGAGTTCTGCAGGATGAGTTTTGGGGTTCCCCGTGGAAGGTCCTAGGTCCTGTCCTCCAGCACGTGTGGTTTCTGTGTCTGTGTGCCCTGGACGCTGGCTGGGCCCTGCAGGGCGAGTGAGAGGCCTCCGTCCCTCCTGATGGCGGGCTGCACAGCCCTCAACCTGGCACCGAGCGAGCTGTGGGTTCCCAGAAGGCCCCTCACTGCTCTTCCAGTCTGGGCAGTCCCCTGCTGCTGGTCTGTTTAGCTGAAGAGGCGTCAGGAGCTGTCAGCTGTGGGCCCTCTCCCCCTTCCTCGTGCCCATGTGAAGACTTGAATCCATGGGTCTTGACCATGGAGCTCACCTGCATTCCTGGGGTGACTCTCCCCGACCCTGGCACGTTCTTCTTCCCGTGTATTCCTGGACTACGTTTTTCATTTCTTTCTTAAACATCTGTTTTTTTTTTTCAAAGCTAACCTAATCTATTTTACTTTTACAGTCTAGGGATTGAACCCAGGGAGCTGTACCTCTGAGCCACGTCCCCAGCCCTTTTTATTTCACTAAGTTGCTGAAACTGGCCTCAAACCTGTGACCCCCCTCAGCCTGTGAGTCGCTGGGCCCACAGGTGGGTGACGCCGGGAGCCTTTCACATTTGTGTTCGTGAGGATGTCTGTCCGTCTGTCTTTGTCAGGTTTAGTATCAGGAGTGTCCTGGCCTCAGAATAAGTTTAAATGCTTTTTTTCCCCTCCTCTGTTTTCTGAGAACTCAGTGAGGCTGATGCTATTTTTTCTTTCCTGTTTTATAGAACTGAGGCCTGGAGTCCCCTGGTGGGCGCCCCCTGGTGGGCGTCCCTTGCTCAGCGCAGCCGTGGGGTCCTCTTTCCAGCCTCGTGAGCCCCTGCGCTGGCCACGCGGAGGCCCCTGCCCGTGTGTCCTCCGCAGTGTGTGGTGCCCGGGGCTGGCTCTGCTCGTCTGCACCCGTTTGGGTTCATCCATCTTGGTTCTCAGTTCCCTGCTTCCGTGTGGACGGACGGGCCTTTCTCCTGGAATCTGGCTGGACTCTCTCTGCTTCTCTGTGGCGGTGAGTGTCGGGATCCGACCAGGCCCTGCTCCGGGGGGCGCTGTGTTTGTCCATTTTTTTCTCTCCTCCAACTTGAGTCATTTTGAAAACCCGCCTTCCCGTTTGCCAGCACTGTCTCCCGCCTTGGGTCAGTCCTGCAGGGAGGGGTCACTTGAGGTCTTTGTGGCTCTGTATTAAACATCTGCCGTTCCGAAGGTCACGTCCATCTGCTGGGGGTGCTACCAAGCCTTCCCCTCTCGCTCAGCTTCCCCGAGTTACCTGAACGGAGTTGGGCTTCCCTGGCTGCCCACACACCCTGGGCGTCAGGGAGGGCACTGACCCTCGGCGCTGGACGCGGCCACTGGCCTTGCTTCTTCCCTTCACACTGGACTCGCTGTCCACCCCTGAATGTTGCTGCTTTTTCCTGATAAGCGATCAGCTTCTAACAGTCCTCTTGAGCCTGGGTACTTCGTCCGACCCTCTGAGAGGCGTCACCTGGACTTTCCCTTTAGAAGCAGAGACCCTCCCCTGGGGACCCTCTGGCTCCGAGCTCCCCCTGTGGTGTGGGTGGAAGCCCTGCGCCCGCAGGCAGGGCCAGCCCTGGCTCTGCTGTCCTGGGCAGCTCACTTCTAGCTCTCTGGGAGCACCCCAAATGCTTCCCGTCCCCATTGCAGGGGCCGGTGCCTGAGACCAACAGGAAAGAAAGAGGCCCAGGGAAGGAAGAGCCTCCTGCAGGAGCCTGTGTGGGAACGTGAACACTCGCCCGCATCCTACAGACGCAGCCTCTGCAGAGAGCAAGTGCCAAGAGCAGGGCGTACAGCCCCGGAGCTGGGATGTCAGCGGACAGCCCCAACCCCCTGGGCAAGCAGTGACCGCTATGAGGTAGACTACAGCCCCAGTGCCAAGGAACAGAGAGGGCAGTGACTCCCTCCACGCGGCACAGCCCCCTCGGCAGCTGGACCCCGGGCACGTGAGTATCACTCATTGCACGGCTGGTAGCCAAAGAGCTGGCGGGAGGGAGACAGCAGGGCCCAGGCTGGGGAAGCAGAGGTGCACAGAGACCTCTGTGCCAACACCTTCCCTGCACAGGTGGGGAAACTGAGGCCCAGCGGGAGGGGCCCTCCTCACCCAAGCTGCGTGACGAGTTGCCAGGGGATCAACAGCCTGGTTGCTCCTCCCTCTGAATTCTGCCACCGCCCCTTGGCTCTCCCTGGAACTGCAGGACGGCCCTGGTGGGCGCAGATGCCCGGCTCCACACGGCCACCCCGCCCTGGTCCACTGCCCCATGGACACAAAGCCACCTCTGGCTGCAGCCTTCTCTCCTCTCCCTGTGACGTTCAGAAACCCAGGACTTTCCAGAACTCTGAAAAGGCTCCCCAGGACCAGGTCCAGGGGTTGGTTCCAAATACCACAATTTCATTTCGTCTGAAAGGCAGCTCTGGGAGCAAAGCAAGACTCTGGCAATACGCACACCGGCAGACCCTCCCACCCAGAGCCGGAGGAGCAGGGACGAGTGGATGCGAGGAGGGGCTGAGTCTGGGGCAGACGCTGCAAGACCAGGTGTTCTGAGGGCGGCGACAGGAAGAGGAGCCTGGCACCGTCCCTCCCAGGCAGGAGCCAATCCAGCCACGCACACAGCAGCTCTGCTGAAACTGAGCAACTTGGAACCCACGGAGCTGCTGACAGTGAGTCGGCCCCCCCACGGTGCCCAGGGGAGCGTGTCTCGCTGCTGCTGCATGGAGGAGTCTGGCACCCACTGTTTGAAACAGAACATCGGCATCTCTATGCCTCGGCAATGTGGCTGCCCGCACGTGTGGGCATTTCGGAGAGCCCCACTCCGAGAGGCATGTCAGCGGCCAGCATGGCTGCACCCAGCTTCATGGCCCTGAGCTGCCAGCCACCCAGATGCCCACGTTCACCATGTGGCTTGCAGCTTGCAGCCATGGCCTGTTTGTGCGGGAGGCTGTCACAGCAGTGCGAAGCCACCTCCTGAGCTGGGCCCACCATGAAGATGGTCCGTCGACCCCTCCCTGCCCAACGGAAGCCCACAGCATGACACATCCCGCACCCATCTACACCGAAAATTCCCAGCAGGCCAGACCCTTCCTTGGTGCTGTGCCTTGGAACGATACCACCTTACCCAGGGGCACAGGGACTTGCTGGGAGAAAAAAATAACATTCCAAACTTACCAAAAACTTAGAAGTTTATACGAGAACCAGGGAAAGACTATTGAACTCCCCTGGGAATTTGCAGCAACAGCGGCAGCCGGGTTTGCGTGCAGAATGCAACATTGTCGCTGACCCGCAAGAATACTGTGTCCCTGGCTTTAAACTAAAACAAGCAGGCAGCGCCACGAAGCAGGCAGCACCGCGAAGCAGGCAGCGCCGTGGGCCCTTAGCGGAGGGATCATTCCCGCAGCCCCTCCCAGGGCTCAGGCGGAGGGTGTTGAGGGGCAGAGGGAGAAAAGAAAGAGTGTGAACGACGCCCCTGAAGTATCGGGACCCCAGGAAGGAAGACTCACCAGAGCAAGCACCCGGCTTCCGGCCCGAATCTGGGGGACGTGGGCACTGTCCCTCAGCACTGGTGGGCAGGGCCAGAGCACCAGCTGCGGCCCTGCCCTCTGCGTGGCCTGTTTCCCTGGCTGGCCAGCTGGCCAGGCCATTATGAGAACCTCGGTGACCCGCACAGAGCCCCCAGAGGCCCGTGGAGGCTGCTGTAGACCACGAAACAGCACATTGTTTTAGGCAGCTGCAGCGTCCCGGAAGGTGGGTGTGGGGGTGCCAGGAGCCCCCAGAGGAGAACCATGGGGAGGAGCCCTCCCGTCGCAGGCGCTCAGCAGGCACCAGGCTCGGCCAGCCGGACCCCACACAGCCCCCAGCGCTGGGCCAGCTCAGCAGCCTTAGGGTGGTGGTGCTCAGCCAGGAAGTTTGGAAAAATCTGCTGCCCCCAGCCTGTGGGCCTGGCCGGTCCAGGTCTGGGGAGAGCCTGTGTGTGCAGAGGGAGCCTGTGCCTGGGCCCTTCTGCAGTGGGTTGTGGATGCCCCGCAGCAGCAGGCTGAGGACGCTGGAGTGGCCACACGGGAGAGAAGACACCCAACCCCACATGACATGTCGTCCAGCACCTCGTCCCCAAGTCTGCAGACCCACCTGCCCACCCCCGCCCCGCTGCGTGGCCTCCCAGTGGACACTCTGTCCTGAGCCTGCCTGGCCACCCCACCCAGCAAGGAGGGCTGCACACCCACCTGGGCAGGGAGGTAGCCAGCCCCTGCTTCTGCCGCTCACAGTGTCCGGGTCTGGGTGGGCTACGGCATCCCAGGGACCAGGAAGCTGCTGAGCTGGGGATGGGCCATCCTGCAGCTGCCAACCAGCAGGCCGAGCTGGCCCTGGACCTGACGACCCAGGGGTCCTTTCTGGCTGACTAGGTGTTGGGTCGGGCAGATAAAAATGGGGGACCGGGTCGCCAGCCAGGGTCTCTGCTGACCCCTCCTCAGGTGCCCAGCAGAGTATCTGGCCATGACCACGGGGACAGAGGACAAAGGAAGGGGAAGGGGTGGCCAGGAGCACCCGGCTGGCCGGGGTTTGCCAAGTTGCAGCCGAGCCCAGAGGCTCCCATGGGCACTGGGTCTCCTGGCACAGAGGGGACACCATTCAGGGTCAGCTGGCAGCCTTGGGGGTGCCTGCTGCATGCCCGACCCCGGAGGGCGAAGGGTGCTGACTGGCACTCAGCTCGTGCATCTTAAGGACTTCTAGAGGCTGAAAGACATCCCCAGACAAGTGACGCCGTGGCGAGGAAGTGTCTGTGACAGATTAAGCACAAAGGATCAGCAGCACCCAGGATGTGCCACCTCCCTCCTGCCACCAAGAGAAGACACTGGCTCAGAAGGAAAGAAGCCAGGGATGAGGGCGGCCGCCGGTACCCGGCAGCCACCAGGGAGACATGCCACCTGCCAGGCCAGGAGGCACCAACCAGCCCGCTGGCAGCGGCTCCCCAACCACAGACGCAGAAACTCGAGCCTGAGTGTCCCCGTGGCAGGTGCCCTGGCCACTCATGGGTCCTGTGGGAGCACAGGGCGGGGGCTGGGAGAGGGGCTGGACACCACCGTCAGCTCTCAGGGCCTCCTGTAGGAGCCTGTGTTCCCCCATGCAGCAGGCACAGGCTCAGAGCCAGCAGCCGACCCCAAACTCCCAGGGCCATGACCCCACAGGGCTGTCGGAGGACGAGCAGTCACCAGTCACCAGGACTGTGGACGTGCACACACACAGGAGGTGTCCTGTCGCACGGTCTGTGCGGGGGACCCTGGGCGAGTCAGACCTGGTGCACCCGGAGCCCACAGAGAGGGCGAACCAGGGGGTGGAACCACGGTCACACCAGAGCCCTCCTCAGCCCCTCAGGGCACGCGGCCTGGCGCTGGCCAGGGAGGTCTCTCTGGAGGAGAGCAGAGGGCTGCTCCCAGGGGCAAGGCACCTGCACGGGGCTCCTGCCGGATGTCCTGGAGTCAGCAGCGCTGGGCATCGGCTCTGCCCTGGCCCACAGGTGGCCTCCACTCTCTGGCTCAAGGGCCAGCCCTATCCCACTCCTGTCCACCCTCCTCCCTTCTCCCTGGCTCTCCCCCTCCACCTCCCTCAATTTGTCTTCTGTCTCCCCTCCCCTCCCCTCC